GCCAGGCTGAGGACGGGGGAGGGTGCTCATCTTTCCAGAGCTGAAGGAGACGCGTGGGCAGCAGAGGACACATGGTCATAGCCAGCCTTCGTTAGGTGCTTCCTGCATGCAAGGGGCAATGGTGCCCAATCCTGGCTGCAGGTCAGAATCATCTGGGGAGCTTTAGAAAATGCCAGTGCCCAGTGCACACCCAGAGCAGTCATAGTGGAACCCTGGGGGTGGACAGCTCAGTGACTCTTAAAGCACCAGTGACAGCAGGCAGTCGTGGCTGAGGTCCACTGCCAGGCACTGTCCTAGGGCTTCCCCTGTGTCCTCTCATTGCACCCCACAACCATCCTATCATCAAGTCTGTCCTACAGATAAGGAGCAGGCAGGCATCAAGAGGCATCAAGAGTCCAGTGCAAAGGCACCACCAAGGCAGACGCTAGCAGACAGAGAACATCCAGGAGGGGACAAGGCCAGGACACCACCGGTGTGTGAAGGGTCCTTGCACAGCCGTGTCTCCCTCTGTCAATCATGCCCTCACTCTGAAGGCTTGGGCACGACTAATCATGGCATCAGAAAAGTGTCGAAGGTTCTCTGGCCACCTGTCTCCTTGGCACTTCCCTTCCCTCCGTCCCCAGCCTGTGCCCATTTTCTCCTTACCCCTTCCTGGCACAATTCAAAAGATAAATGACTTTGCCAAAAAGAAGCTAAGGTGGGAACGAACCTCTGTCTACCTATGCTCACCTGCAACCAGGGTGAGTGTCCATTTAAAACAACACATCATGGGGCTGGGATTGGGGCTCAGTGGTAGAGTGCCCCGCTCCTAGCATGGGAGGACCTGAGTTTGATCCTCAGCACCACATAAAAAAATAAAGGCATTGTGTTGTCCATCTACGCCTAAAAATAAATATTAAAAAAAAAAACATCGAAAGAAGGCAGAAAGGGTTGGGAGAAGAACACAATATTTATTTTTTAGATTTTGAAAGTCACTTAGGTACATAATAGAGCAAAAATCAACCAGAAAGCACAAGCTAGTGGAAGGAAGAGAGGGCATAATCCACTGAAAGACTGCATTGGTCAGACTCCAGTGTGTACCCCTCAGATCCTCTGTAGGTTAGATAAAAACTTTGTAATCAGATTAGAATGTCACAAACTTTTGAAACATTTTTCACTTAAAACATCACACACACACACACACACACACACACACACACACACACACCTACAAGCATCTTGCACCTGTGGATACACTTGCTCTACAATATCTCCCAAAGTCTAAGTCTGAATTGTGTTCAGTATGTGGACATATCCTCAAAAACGATTATCCTCAATTGTCCCACTGTTGGAAAACGAGATCAAATGCCATCAAAAAGCAATTCTTAAAGAGAACTGTTTTGTTTTGTTTAGCAATCAGTAATTTTTTTTCTTCTTTAGGATAAATTACTAGAAGATAGACTGAAATGAAATGTCCAAAAGTTTGTTTATGGAAAACATATTTAGTATTGAAAATGTCAAACATTCCTAAGAGGCATGTAATGAATGTCTAAGAATCTGCCCCCAGCTCAAACAACACCTCGTGTCCCATCTCACCGCCTCTCTATACCTTCCCATTACCCCACCCGCTGGATGGTGTTGAAGCAAACCTCAGACATCAGATCATTTCATTCATTCATAAATATTTCAACACGTATCCCTCAGATAAGGCAAGAGCACGCTCATTTTGAAGCTCTTGGTATACACTGCCACTCTGCCTGCCAGGAGATTTTGCAAGAGTTTCCATTCCCACCGTGGGGATGAGAATGGGCCCCTTTCTCCCAGCTCAAACTGCCCGAGGTTTATCAGTTCAGGGTGCAGTTCAGTCAGGGAAAGCTGAAGCAGGAAGCTCAACGGGGTGATCAAGAACCGGCAGCCAGGGATGGGGACGTAGCCAGTGGAGGAGTGTAGTCCAGACAGCACAAGTTCCTGGGTCCCAGTCCCAGAACTGCAAAGCCGAAGAAAACAGAAAACAAAGGAACCAGTTACAAAGATAACAGAAAAGTTAAAAGGGCAACAAGGCCCAGGACAGCAATCCAACAGCCTGAAGCTCACTCAAGCAGCCCGAGGCTGGGGAGACAAGGGGAGGAGGAGGGGTAACTGGTAGCAGAGGCCAGGGCACCTGGCCATCCCTGTAAGCCCTGGCAGGGCTGCAGTGACTGGCTCCCTGGAGGGAGGAAGCACCTGAGAGCAACCGAGTCATAGTGGCTGCTGGAAATGCCCCTCTAGAAGCAGATAAGCCACGTCTTGGCTCCTCCCCTTTCTCTGCCCCCATGGGCCAAACCTAACTAGAAGCAGCAGGTACAGAGGCACAGCCCTGTAACCCCAGTGACTCTGGAGGCTGAGGTGGGAGGACCGCAAAGCAAGGTAAAGGCCAGCCTGGGCAAGTGGGTAAAATCTTATCTCAAAATTTAAAAAATGATAAGGGCTCAGATGAGCCACAATGGATGTGGCTCAGTGGTAGCACAGCCCTTGGTTCAATCTCCAGCACCACACACACACACACACACACACACACACACACAAATACTAACCAGAAGTGGACAAAGAGGCTTGGATATGAGTTTTCTTAACCCCCTCAACCCCCTAGTTCAAAGCAGCATGGAGAGGGTGGGGAACGGGCCTGAGAGGCAACAGGCCAAAGGACCACACTCCCAGCACTCCCAGCACCACAGACTTAGCCTAGCCTTGTTGATTGATGTGAGCTACGACCAACCAAAATGGATCTGTAAGTCATGAGGGAGGGATGAGTGTAGACCAGGGAGAAAAAAAATACCTGCTGTTAGAAAATGCAAATTAGGATAGATCATTTAGGGGAGAATCTGCCCATGGTTCTCAAATTTTAAAATCACAATCCCTTCCAAAGATTTATGCTATATATAACTGAGGTATGTGTGTGAAGATGTTCATTGTGGCATTGTTTACAATATCAAGAGTGGAAGCAGCTCACACATCCATAGGTATTGACTCAAAAAAGTGAGTGAGCTGCAGTTAACTAGGTAAGGGTGTAAAAAAATGTGCACATCACACTTCCTATGTGGTTCTTAAAAAAAAAGTATGTAAAGTGTTTCTTAGATGGTAACTATTTCTCAAATCACTGGCAATAGTAATTGCCTTTGGGAAGACAAGACAGAAGAGTGAGAGAGAGAGAGAGAGAGAGAGAGAGAGAGAGAGAGAGAGAGAGCCCTCTCTGTACTCTTAGTACTTTTAAAATTGCTCCCTGGACTTTGAATAAGCTAATCACATGAGGTCTCTAAGGTTCTATCATTTCTGATCAGCACGATCATATGATTCAAATTAGTTTTATCAATTATAACATAGTGAATTTTTAAAAGACCAGCAAGAAGCGTTGAAATTGGCAATGTGTGCTTGGAATTGGCCTGTGACCCATGATTCTCTGTTCCCTCAATCTGGAAATTAGAGAAGCTAGAATGAAGTTGGTTCTTCCTTAAGAGCTCGGTTCTTCCTTATGCATCTCCACGCAGGATGCCCTCTGGATTCTCCTGGCAACTTTTAAAGCAGCTTCAGATGAGGAAGTGTCGGGGAGGCAGAGCGCAGCTGTGCGTGCTTTCCCATGGGTTCTTAATGCTGCTGACCACACAAAACAAACCCGAAGTAGGAAGCAAATGATCCCTCCCCATTCTTTGGGGATATTGTGTGCGTATCTGTTCGCAGAGATTAAGTATAATTTTCTTCACTCTGAGAGATAAAAAGAAAGGTAAGCAGTCTTGGCAGCTTCTGATGAAACACTCCCCAAGGCCCTTTGCATCGCAGAGGCTGCCAGGGACTTCTAGGGCCTCCAAGAGCGACTGGACTTGTTCAGATTCAGGGGGAGCCTCTCGGCGCTGGGCCCACTGGGACTGCAGCCATGCCAACGTGGTCAGATATGGGTTTAATAAAGACTTTACTGGCCACAGTTCTGCGGTCAGAGCCGTGAGTGGTGAGGGATGAGCCAGGGAAGTGAAGGGCCAAGGAAAGGGCTGGTAAGGAGCTGGGAGGGCCATAGAGGAGAGCAGAGGGAACGTGTCCAGAGGAGGATTGAAGGAAGGCATCGTCGAAGGGCGAAAGGAGAGTAAGAGTTGATTTAAAAGAAAGAAACTGGCAGGTCTTAATGAAGAAAAAAGCTAGGATTCATATTTGAATGACCAACTAAATTTTTGTGCCAGTAAATGAGATTTTAAAATAAACAGAAGGAGCAACAAACAGGTTTAAAAACAGGTGACCAATGACTTTATTTGGGACATCAAACCGCACATGGGTAACAGACATTCAGATTTGAGATTCTTATATTAAAGTCATCAAAAGGCATATTCTAGTTAAAACCATGAGGGCAGATGAGATATTCCAGGGGGAGGAAGGAGTACTTAGAGAAGAGGATCGGCCAGGGAGCATGGAGCAGATTGCCTAGCACAGAGGCATGCTCAGTCGATGCTTGCTGAGTGGATCAATGAGCAAGTGATGGGGGTAGATGTTCATTCCACATGAAAACAGAAGAGAGACCAGTAGAGTAGGGGAAGGGGATCAGGAGGAGGGGAAGGGGGGAAATGGGGAAAGAAACTGATCAAATTATGTTATGTGCGTGTACGGATATGTCACAATGAATCCCACTAGTATGTATAATCATGGTGCACCAATTAAAAAAAAAGTTTCAGACAGAAGAGAACCATCTTTGGCAAAAACTTTGCAACGTGCACAAGATGGCCAAGGTTGAAAATGTGAATGCATCCAACAGAGCTGCAGACGTCTCTAGCAAGATAATGGCCTGTGGTGAGAAAATCAAGATTCACTTTACACATACCCGAGAGCAAAATCTCCAACCACATCAGGCTGGACGAAGGCCTCTGTGGTTGGATTAGAATCAGAGCGGTTGGAAACCAACAATCTTTGTGTTTAGGTTAATTGGACATTTTAATAGCACCAATTTTTACCAGCTCGTTTAATTGGCTTAAGAGGTTACTATGGTCGTGCTGTCTGGCTTTTTATCTTCGCAGGAGGGAGAGTCAGGTTTTTTTTTTTTTTCCTCAAGGTGTTTTCTTTAAGTTTTCAGTTGAATTTCTTTCTCAGAGCAACTACAAGGTTTAGCCACTTGCATAAAGAGCGGAGGGAGGGGTTCCTGTTCTGCTTGAGCAAGGTCTCCCAGGACAGTGGTCTCTATCACTCCTCCCTCCTACCTGGAAGCGGGAATATCATGGACCTGCAGTTGGCTGCATCAACAGGGAAGTCCGTGTGTGGCAAGTGCCTGAGAAGCTGCTGGAAAACAGAACAGGAAACGTAGTAATTTGGGGAAGAGAGGGAGGGCCAGAGCTGGTATTTGAGAAGTAACATGGAGGGAGAAATGTTCTCACTCCTTAGGTCCCAGCTTCACACTCCCCTTTTGTCTGGGCAAACCTCCATGAACTCCAACCATAAAATGGGAATCCATTCTATTGAAATTTAGAGACTCCCTGTCGTGTGCTGCACACTGCTCCAGGTACTTGGAGACCTTCGGTGAGCAATGACACCCTTCTTCAGAACCCCTTATGAAGTAAACCAGAGTTACCTGAGGACCTAGAGAAAGTGCTGAATTAGAGGTAATGGCGACATGGATGGTGGTTCTCAGACATGGAGGACACCAATGACAGCAGAACATGCCATCAAGAGGAAGAGGGTGGGTAGATTGATCCCTGAAGGCCTGGCATCCTCTAGGCGATGAATTTCCTGAAGCAAGTTGGGAACCATATAGGACTTAGTCACCTCTCTAAATTCCCAGCACATGCCTGGTCTATAAATATTTGGTTATCAGTAAGAAATCATTCTCCATTCACGATTGCCAATTAAGTTGTGGGGCCTTTCATATTGTATTCTTTTGGGTTCTTCAGTGGCCTACACCCTCTGACCTAGTGTCCTTCTGATAACTAGAGAAAATATAAAGCAATGGGTACAATATCTGGTTCGAGGTGGTGACTAGGAAATCCAACCAGTTCCTGTGGTCACTTCCTATTTGTAGATCTGGCCCAGGCATGAACAAGAGCTCAGAGGTGCGAGTGGGTGTGGCCAACCCAGGGGACAAAGAGGAGAGCCAGATCCTAGAAAGAAGCAAGATCACCTGAGCAAGTCCCTGCTGCATGTCTGCCAGGACTTTCCACCCTAGCTCACTTCACCCATTCTGTTAGCTTGTGAGATAGAATTTCATTGTCATTTGTTGCCATCTGGGACTCTTTGGTAGGTTGCAAATCTGATATTTGAACCAGATCTGACAAAACTCTTGGCCTTTCACTCTGCTCATGTATCTTTCTAAAGGGGCCATGAGGGACTTTGTTGGTCAGGAGATCTCCTGCTGGAGCTTGGGAGATCCTGAGTCTACTCCTAAGTAGCTGAGCCATGTGGGGAAGTGGTTCTCATCCTCCTTGCCTCCTCTGTAATGTGGAGTAGTAATGGCTCCTGGTCTGTAATGGGAACAGCAGCTCCTACTGTCTGCTTGTTTCACATCAGACCCCGTAAGAAACAGATTCCCCTGTGGGTTCTTGCAGCGGATGGAGTGCTCTAATCACAGAGAGAAGGAGTGTGGAAAGTCGGGAATGGCTTTTGAAACTGTCACCAGTGGCCCGCTCATTCTCACCTCTTTGGCCAGTGTAAACCCAGCGTCTACACCAAGATCAAAGGGGTAGAAAAATCCCAAATGCCACGTAGCTGGATGAAAGAAAACTGGAAACATGAATGATCACCACAATTAATCAAAAGTGATATCATTCTGAGTGTTTTGCAAGAGCTTATTACATACCCAAGTTCTTTTCATTGTTGGAACTTGTGAAATTTTAAACCTCAGGATGAAGAAATTCTAGGCAATGGGAAAAGTATGATTTCTGGAAAGGGAAGTATAGAAGTTCAAAAAGTCAATGAATACTATCATCAAAATGGTGCTGAAGATTGATGATGATGGTGATAGAACATAGGGCACCTGTGAAACAGGGGAACTGGAAAAGTTGGGGAACCTTGGAAGTCATACTGGAATAGTCCAGGGGCACCTGGTAGGATGGTGGTGATCAAACAAAACAAAACAAAACAGAAAACATGAATTGGGAACTAGAGTATAGAGATGATGATCTTACTTCTGAGTCACCTCCAGTTCTATAGAGAGACAGATGTGAACCCAATGGTCTGGTCTCCACAGGCAGCCTCTGGTCTCACCCTGTGTCCACCTCAGCATCATATTCAACACTGGGTTGCATCTCCAAAAAAGTGAACCTGCAACACTCCAGCAATGGGTGGTCCACACTTCGCTGAAGCTGTAGAAACTGGGGACAGCGCTACAGATGCACTGCCAGTCCCCACTCGGTGGGTCCTCTGCCTCCTGCCTTTTCCTTGGCCACTGGCTGCCCCAATCTCTGTACCAGGGACATGCATGCACACACATGCACGAGTACCCTTTCTAAAGCCCTCCATTTTCTTTTGCAAGATAATTTAGTTCTCTCTTAGCTTCTCGGAGTTTGCTGTCCAGCCTGCACCACACACAGTTCCAGGCAGATGCTCAACCCTCCTGACAGCCCACCCTCTGCAGAGGGGACGTCAGGGAGAAAACAACCACGAACTCTACGCCTCGGGCACTCACCTTCCCTGCCACTGTTCAGAGAATGGGTGGCTGCTCCCTGGGGGCCTGAGAAGGCACCCCTGCCTTCCTGCCGGGGCCCATCTCACTCCTCCTTAGACACTCTCCCTCTTCCTGTGGCTCTGCCCTGTCATGAAGGAAAGGGGCAAGTTCGCCTGCTTTCCAGGGAAGGCTCTGGTGAACTGGGGCTAGGGTGCCCAGGGGCTGGGGCAGGGGTCAGAGGCCTCTCCCTGATCTCTATCTCTTGTCTTTCTCACTTTGCTCTGAAAACTCAGCTCATCGTGCCACAACTAACATAGGTAGACTTGATGTAAATAAAAGTCAAATGATGAATATTTATGCGTGTTCTTTCTGGCCATGTTAAAGCACGTTAAATATTGTTGATGTTTTCAAATATATAAACAAAACTGCAGAAGGAGTGACATACCATACTAATGAATGATGCTCATTTGCCAAATAATGTTCAGACACATCTTATACCATTTGTCCAAGACGCAAACTGCTGGCTGGAGCCTGCCTCCTCCTCAGCGCCTCCTGGGAATGGAGAAGGTCTGCACATCGACTCCCTTGAGATAAGGCTGAAGTTCTCACCTTGGCCTGCCCAAGTCTCTCCAGATCCCAGAGAAGGGCCTGGGACAAAGCCCCTCCAGCGGAAGAAGTGTACCTAAGCGGGTTATGTCTGTCCTCTCTCAGCCCAGCTAAGCTCTTACTTCACTGTAAAGAATCAGCCTACCCAGAACACAGGCTGGTTGGTGTGGTTTATAGAGCAGAGCCCAAGACAGCACTGAAGATAGCTCCTCCCTATAGAAAATAGAACTTGGAGCAAGTCCCCAACCTCAGCATGGACTTTTCCTGGAAAACAGAAGAACAAATTACAAAACAAAGCAACTAGGAGGAAGGAGAGAGTGCACACCTGCAGAGGTTGTTACACAAAACCTCATTGTTGAGGCGACGGTGCTGCCCAGAGCTGAGTTTCTATCACGGAGCAGGAAGCCCAAACCCAACTCCTCAACTCTGAGCTGCAAGTGAAGGAGGAAAGTAGACTCCGGTCCAACCAGGATGTACCAGGGCTCAGAACACCTCGCACCTCCAAGGCAGCACCTGCTCCAGGCTATAGAACGTGGCCATGCAGTGCACTCCAACTGCCCTGAGCCCATCAAAAAACAAGACCATGTCATTCCCTAAATCATACAGTGTCACAACTATTCATATACCATTTGCATGGCATTAGCTACTATAAGTAGTCTAAATTTGATTTTAAGCCTATGGGAGGATGCAGCCAGTCTATGTGCAAATATTGTGCCAGTTTATATAACAGATATGAGCACCGAGGATTTGGGTACCTGACAGGGTCCTGGAATCAACCCTCCTCTCCCCCGCCTCCCCAGGATCTGAGGGACTACTATACTTTGCACCTCCTTCACTGAGCTCTCACAGGGCTCTTAACTCCAAGTCTGACTGACTCTGGTGCTTCCCCACGCAACCCCTCCTCTGGGGAACTGTGATAACAAACTATTTTGTCATTTCCTGGTCTGTTGATCTCACCAAACCTGAATATATATATATTTTTTTTAAAAAAATCTACATTTTAACACCTATCTTCTACAGAAGGCTAGAAGTGGTATGGGAAATATTTGCATATTGCTTAGTTTTGTCTTGGAGGGAGGGAAGTTCTCCAGCTACTCTTAATCTTTTGGTGTCCTGAAATTTTGCTTTCCTGGGATTAACAGAATTAAAGTCAGAGTTAGGACAGAGAGATGAGTCACTGACAACTTGACAAGTCCTAAAATAGAGACAGTTAACATGGTGGAGTTTCCCATGTGCCCTGATTTTGTGGTGAAATTTGCCAGAATCCAAAGCCTATGTTCACTCCTTCCTTCCATGCCTTTCTTAAAGTCAGATGTCTGTAACATGGAGAAAGGAGCATAGGGATATGATGCATAAAATCTGGATGCTACTGAAGAATGTATTTGACACAGATCACACTTGTCTCCACTTTCTTGTGAGAAATTAAAAGAGACATGACAGATCATAAACCAGGCAACCAAAGTAAGAACACTTAAGCTCATAGCAAAAGCCCAAAGTACACATGCATCTGTCAGTAGCACCCTTGGGCTTTAGTGTCAGGACATGATCTATTTTGATGGTTTAAGAGACATGTGTCCCATTTCCTTGCAGCTTTGTGGAAAGTTATAATGATACTAATTTTATTAGTATGATTAAGAGTGGGATAGCTTCGATGGTTCTTTATCATCCTCATTTACCAGGTGAGGAAAAACAGACTCAGAGAAGCCAAGTGCCCAAAGATGTATGGCTGGAAAATGGTGAAGTGGGGTTTGAAACCAGATCTGCTGGGGTTCCTGAAGCCTCACTCCTTAAAGTCCTGTTGACATTAGCTGGACAGCTAACTGTACCAGGTTAGCTTTTGCATGATTGGTAGGTAACCAAATTTCACCTACAGTAAGCTTCCTCAGTAATGCAGATTTCATGGCAACACAGAGAAGGGAAGTAGCTGTCAGAATCAAGTGAAAAGCCACTAGAACTTACTGAGTGTCAGAGACCAGCTCCAGCTGGTAGGTTCTGTGACAAACGTCCTTCTGCCACAAGACACCACATCCTTGCTCCTTTTGGGAGGGTTTACTCCAGAGCCCATTTCCCTATAGCAGAGGTTCTTTCTTTTTTTCTTTCTTTCTTTTTTAATTGGTTTCTCCTTACTTTTCCAAATGCCATGAACACCAGCTTTTCACCAGAGTTGCTTAATTAAGAGCTTCTCTCAGTGAGAACTAGTGGCTCTAGTGACTGCTTGGTTCAGTTTTAAAGCTTAGTGACCTAGAGCCGTGTGAGTCTTTGCTTCTGCATTTTGTCTTCAACAAAGCATTTTTGAGAGATTGATTGGGGGTGCAGCTGAGCCCCTGGGCATGGCAAGTGTTGTTCAGAGTTCACATAACTGTGTTCTACACTCCCTCGCTAGGGAATCAGAAATCCTGGTTCCATTCCCAGCCTTTCTCCAAACAAGATATGTGGCCACGAACTCATCTTTTAATGACTTTGTGCCTTGATTTCATTTGACTCACTTAGAAACCATTCATTGAAATCCTACTGAGTTCTAGGCCTTGGATTAGGGCATCCAGAGAGTTGTTAGGAAAGTAGCATCTGGAGCCAGGCAGAGCTGGGTTTGCATGCTACCCTTGTCCTTCCTCACCCTCTGACCTGGAGCAAGCCACTTCCCTTCTCTGCGTTGCTGGTGGTGAAATCTACATTGTTGAAAAGATTAGGGAAGGACATGGTTTGTGGGTGCTCAGAAGTTCCAGTTTCCTTACCCTGGCTCCTCTTACACAGGCTCTGCTGAGGCCATCGCTACACAAATAAATTTGATCTCAACTTAGAGTTTAAACAACAGAATTCCTGTTTTCCCTGATGTCAGAGTTTAGCCAAAAACAATTCAGTTGGAAAATCAGTCAGCTGACAAATCTACCTGGCAAAAACAGGGGTCTGTCAAAGGTGCCAGGTGCCAGGCCCTAAGTTTTCTGCTATGTGCTGATACTATGGATGTACCATGTCATGCACATTTTTGAAATCATCTTTTACACATGTTAGAAAATTTCAGAATTTCTCAGGTTTGAAGAAAAAGGATTCAAATGTTTTTCTATTTGTTCTTCATTTGGTTTTAGTCTATAGTCAGAGTTTTGTTAGGACTGAAATTATAAAAGGTGAGACCATCTAAATGCCTAACAAGAAAGATTCATGAAACCACCTAAAATTGCACAGAGAATGCACTGGAAGCCACCTACAAGTCTCCTGCGGAACAGGCAAAATTCTACTTCTGTATAAGTACCGCATGTCAACCAATTCCGTCCCTGGAGCATCTTAAAATTGTACTTCTATGTTCTTAAGGTTTTCTAGTTGGGCCTGGAAATTAAGTTGACATCAGATAGATCAACAGGCAAAAAAAAAAAAAAAAACCATGAAAATTTATTTAATGTATAGTTACATGGCATGAGCGCTTTTGTAAGGAAATAAGATCTAAAGATTCAGGCAGAGTGGAATGCTTTATCTGCTGAATTGTGCCAAGAGTAGTAACCTGAGAAAATGGGTTTGGGCTTGCATAGTTAGTTGGGTGGAGAAGTAACTAGGAAGATAAGGGTCAGTTAAGCAAAGCTGGTTTGTAAATTTCCCTCGGCTCCCCACTCCCCATCCTTGATGATAGCTATGGCACTTTATTTCTGGTTTAGGGAGACATCTTTTTCATACTGGAAATCTGGAAATTTCACCTCCTGCTTCTAAGAAAAAGAAGGGTAAGTCTTCTTCCTACTGTTCTGGGGGTTGAACCCAGGGGCGTGCCACTACTTAGCTTCATCCCCAACCTGTTTTAAATTTTATTTTGGGTCTCACCAAGTTGCTGAGGCTGGCCTCGAACTCCTGATCCTCCAACCCCAGCTTCCCCGAGTTGCTGGGATTACAGGTGTATACCACTGCCCTTGGCCAGAAAGCCATATTTTGGGTTGTTGTGTTCTGAACTCCTTTACTCAAGTCGGTGGCTTCCATAAGTGAAATACAATCTTACAGCACAGTATTGGATGTGTGATTGAACTACAGAAAAAAAAAGGAGTCTATACCCAGTGTAGGTGTTGATGTGCCCAAAATAATCTCTCAAGTACACTCCAGGCCTGACCCCAATATTTCCAGAACCCAGATGAATACAAATGGAATACCAATACATCCAAATACTTTGAAATTATAGATCAAACTAACAAACTATTAAATAAAACATGTTCTATTCTTCCCCCAACAAACACACTTTTCTAATGACCTGAAAGGTAAAGGTGAAATATCAAATTCCCGGGAATCCTCAGAGCTCTGAGCTACAGCATCAGAGCAGGTCAGCTTGGGGAGCTGCTCCCACACACCCAGCTCTGGCTCCACTTGCAGTGACCAGGCCAGCCCTGGAGCCCTCTGCCTGACTGACCCCTCTTCTTACTCATAGTGCCCCACACCATGAGGGGCCTCACACGCATGTTCGTGAACATCCTAGCCTACACACCCAAGTCTTGTCCAAACCATTCAGTATTCACCACTGGGCCCCTCTAAGACTAGGGATGTGCACACCAGTAGCATGGCCCGTCCTTGTGAGAAAGGACCCAGGGTCACAGGCTGGCACAGGAGGCTGAGGTCAGGAATTCTGGGGTCCTGAGTGCCCCAAGAGGGGCTTTCAAAGAATGTGGGCACCAGCTCTTGGTGGGCACATCTGTCTGGCCTCAGAGCCTTCTCACTAGTAGACACAGGCCTGCCTCAGGACAGCCCAGCTCCCCATCACCGCTGTCACAGATCATCACAAACCTGGTGGCTTTGATCAAATATCAGAGCGAAGATCGAATAAATCATTCCTGAGAGTTGATGCCTGACAAAAAATCATCCTCTTTTCCTTCCCTTGGCCTGTCTGCCTTGCCTTATAGTCTGTTTAAAAAAAAAAAAGAAAGAAAGAAAAGAAAAAACAAATACTTTATAGCTATAAAACAGCACAATGTGTTATCATCCCAGAAGTCAGAAGTCTTGCACAGATCTCAAGGACACGAAAGCAACTGCAGAGTGGCAGTAGCTCCTGGAAGCTCCAGGGAAGAATCTCTTTTCTAAAAGGCCACAAAGGCCACCCACATTCCTGGGCTGTGGCTCCTTCCCCATCCTCAAAATAAGCATCGTCACTTCTCTCTGACACCTTCTGACCTCAGTAGGGAAGGGTCCCACTTTTGAAGGAGAAATATGGTTCGACAGGCCCCATCTGGATAATCCAGGATACTGTCCCCATGTCAAGACATTTAACCTTACATCTACAAAGTCCCTGTTGCCACATAAGGCTGTGTACTCACAGGCTCCAGGGGTGATGCCATGGCCTCTTAGTGTGGGGCCTTACTCCTAGAACAGACAGGGACCTCCCTGCCCTGGTCTGTGGTCTGTGCAGTGTACACACAGATGTAACAATGACTGACT